CAGAGTCGGGCAGAGTCGGTATGCTAGCTAGTATCATTTACATCAATTATAATTGAGTGTAATTTTTTGCAACTTATCTATGGTTCTCTTGACCTTTGATAACGGCCACAGTTCCCCAAAAACTTTTTCGTACAGTAAAGATTGTCATCGTGTTTACAGAACTTCCCAACTTTTGACTATGCCAAACAGTACGAGTAAGACCATATGCTAAGCAACAAGTGATTCGCAATAAATGTAGGGTGACTAAGTATTTTGTACATTCGCTTATTATTATAAGAGCGTTGAGCACTGATATTGTATTTTTAGTTTCGTGTATATGCAAGGAAGGAGGCAGCACGGGCAAATATGACGCACTATGCACTATCTGTGGGAATAAAATGCTTGGATTACTACAACGAACTTTTCGATTACTCCTTTCCTTTGGGAAAACAAGGTTAGAAAGGTTTACATAGTTCTGAACTTTTCAAGGCTGGAGATCTCTCAGGTGGGTATTTTTTTGTAAGCCTGGTCTTTAAGAACTGTCCAGTTTGGCTTTTATTACTGTGCTTAGTGCTGAAATCTATGTTTCTTTGAAGCTGCTTATAGAGGGCTGAGAATTTACTGTTGTATTTTTAGAAATTAGCAGTACGATAGCTTATGTGGGAGCAGCTTTACTTTTTGAGAAATGAAAACACTTTCTCGATTATCAAATTCAAGCGATTTAACTGACTTCCACGTGCAAAAGCCTGAAAATTTCCACATCTTCGGCAGCATAAATTCACAGACAACACAATACAATCTCCATTGTTATTCGCCATGTAGCCAAAGGTTGTATGTATCTAACTACCAAATTAGTCGTCTGTGCATTCATTATAGGCTGAGAGCGGAACTCACGAAGTCAAAAAGGCAAATTTTTAGAAGGCTAGCCAAGGGCATGACTGTCAATTATTGATGTCGCAAATATTAAGGTGCCTGATAAATAATAGTAGAGGCTTGCTAAATCCTCGAGCAAAAAACTCAGCTAAAATATGCTACTCGAATTGTTGTAGAATTTCGAAGTTACATCTCCAACCGAACTTATTTATTAGCCAACCTAACAATTGAAATGCGTGGCACTGAAAACTCAACACTAAAAAACAGACTAACTAACAACTACGACACTAAATTCTTCTCCAATGACTAATCTCATGACATGTTTTGACTCAAAGGTTTCAGACTTGGTTGCTCTTCCCGATTTTGCCGCTGGAGCTATGGAAAATTGGGGTTTGGTAACGTATAGGTTAATGGATAAGCCCAGCTTGAGACTACTTTATCATAAGAGTATCACTACAGAGAAAACAGCCTTCTTTACGAGAAAAAGGTGTATGCTCCTGAAAACAAACGCAGGATAGTTCAGATAGTAGCTCATGAACTTGGGCACCAGGTGAGCACTGAAACTTTTCTGATTGAAGTAGGTTTTGGATCCACACACAGAATCCTTCGCTTGCATCTCAGAAAACTCGAATATATTCGATAACATTATGCAACTTAGAAACCCTTGAGTTTCCTCGGTAAAGGTAAGGGTAAGCGGGGTAAGGGTAAAAGTAAGTGTAGCATTTGAAATTCTGCAGTGAATGGTCGCATACCTTGAGCAAAAGAAAATACTCAGTCTTATCTAGTTTGTTACACCTGTTCTGAACCGAGTGATGATCTTGTGACACCCGCTGTGCTCTTGTTGGATACAAACATTTGGCTGATTAATTATTGAGTCAATAGCAGAAAACTTCAGGACTGTAGCAAAATGGCTGGACCAAATAAAGTGAATGAAAGAAAGTATGTGCAGTGGATAGGAGGTCTTCATGCTCTTTTCTTCAAGAGTCGATGCTATTTTGTTGAAAGAGACAAAAAATAAAGTGCGGTTTGTGACAGGATTGTATTTTAGACCTGTGCGGTGGCTGTAAATTATGCATAGCGTTATGCGAGACCATGTTAGAATTTTCAAACAAAAAATGTTAGGATTGTTCATAAACAAACAAATGGCTTGTTCATGTGAAATGGCAAAGATATGGTACTAAACTTGGTAGGGGAC